GGGTCCAGATTGTTGACCAATCAGATCTCGTCTTGATGCCGGACCGGCAAGCGTCCCGAATTTTGGGCCAACCTCGAGCGGGCTAGGCTTCTCGGCCATAGCAGCGCCTAAAGACGTGCGGTATAGTGGGATCCGCGTGGATTCCTGCCTAACACAAACCCAGACCGTGTGCGTCTGCACTGGACCAAGTTCAGACAGTGTCCTTCCGATAAATAGCTTTAGAACGTTGTAATTTATGCACTCGCGCTCGATTGTACGGAATATAGCGGGTATGTTCCCTTCTGTGAGCCTTTTCTCTCAGCAACTAGGCACTGAAGCGGGTCAGCAGCAGATACCTCAGACTGGCGAATCAGCAGATATAACATGACGAGAAAAAATCAACAGATATCCTCACTCATGCAGTCAAACATTCGGACAATAACAAAACAACGGACCGCCTTACACAACGGACGTAGTATAGCTTGGCCATGTCTGTATTGTTTGATACGACATAATTCACCCCCCACCCCGCCCCGAAATTTCCAGCTCAGTTTGCCGGTGGGAGGTTTTGAGGAAAATCAGTCTAAAATGTCCACATGGACTCATGGACTGCATCAACATGGGTGCCTTGTTGCCAGTGGCAATATCCTCAGCTTATCTCCTCGACGATTCGCTGCCACAAAAAACAGCTTAGTTTGAAAAGCGGACTGGTAAATTTGGACTAGCTACCAAGGCTGGCAGTTTGATGCTTAGAATGACGTCAAAGGAAGTTCACTTCTATCGGTTAGCCACCAATAACACCAGTGCACAGTGCCGTTTTCAATTTTGCATGCAACGAAACATGTCTAGATAGTTTCGTTACTGGCGTTCTGGTGGCTTGTATCGTCTCACCTTACTGAGTCCAAAATATGCATTTGCTAAGTTTTACCGGATGAGATTCATAGGGGAGAAGAACAAAGGTACCTGGACGTCAACCAATTAGTGAGCTGGCTAACTAGTCAAACAACGGGACGGATCAGCCAAACAACCAGAGGTTATTCCCTACCGAGACGTAAGCAAACAAAAACAATGCGATTGGTTGGTCCCGAGGTGGTCTTCGCGTAATTTGATTAGTCACCTTGGAATCTGGGTTCCGTAGTGATCTCAGTCCCTTGTAACTGGTAGGTTCGCCTGAAGCAACAATTCTGTTCCACTGTCGTGATTGGGTAATTTCCTTCTTGCTTTGTGGGGGGGGGGAGATGACTATGCAGTCAAACATTCGGACAATAACAAAACAACGGACCGCCTTACACAACGGACGTAGTATAGCTTGGCCATGTCTGTATTGTTTGATACGACATAATTCACCCCCCACCCCGCCCCGAAATTTCCAGCTCAGTTTGCCGGTGGGAGGTTTTGAGGAAAATCAGTCTAAAATGTCCACATGGACTCATGGACTGCATCAACATGGGTGCCTTGTTGCCAGTGGCAATATCCTCAGCTTATCTCCTCGACGATTCGCTGCCACAAAAAACAGCTTAGTTTGAAAAGCGGACTGGTAAATTTGGACTAGCTACCAAGGCTGGCAGTTTGATGCTTAGAATGACGTCAAAGGAAGTTCACTTCTATCGGTTAGCCACCAATAACACCAGTGCACAGTGCCGTTTTCAATTTTGCATGCAACGAAACATGTCTAGATAGTTTCTTTACTGGCGTTCTGGTGGCTTGTATCGTCTCACCTTACTGAGTCCAAAATATGCATTTGCTAAGTTTTACCGGATGAGATTCATAGGGGAGAAGAACAAAGGTACCTGGACGTCAACCAATTAGTGAGCTGGCTAACTAGTCAAACAACGGGACGGATCAGCCAAACAACCAGAGGTTATTCCCTACCGAGACGTAAGCAAACAAAAACAATGCGATTGGTTGGTCCCGAGGTGGTCTTCGCGTAATTTGATTAGTCACCTTGGAATCTGGGTTCCGTAGTGATCTCAGTCCCTTGTAACTGGTAGGTTCGCCTGAAGCAACAATTCTGTTCCACTGTCGTGATTGGGTAATTTCCTTCTTGCTTTGTGGGGGGGGGGGGAGATGACTGTGGTAAGAGCGCGAATTTACTGACCGGAAGGTCCGTGGTTCGAACCCGACCTCTGCCTCTCGACTTCTGTCTAGCCTTGGGCAACCTGGCAGTATCCCAGCCCTCGTGCGTCCTTCGGGCGGCATGGCAGTTAGGTACCGGAAGAGTGTTACGGCTGAACGATACATAGATTAATGGGAGAGATGCATGTGCCTTCTGATGTATAGTGGACAGTGAAAAGTAGTGGGAGGTGAAACTCAAGACGAACACCTAAAATGTCCAAATACACCAGGCCGATAACGAAGAGAGGTAACTAGTAAAAAGATAAGAACGGTGCACGTCCAAAAATGATGAAGGGCATCAGTTTACATGCAAACAGCTTACCTCGGCTTCAACCGTCGCGTAACCTTCATGCATCTCTGTATTGACGATCAATCCGTTCCTCCGGGTGATTGAGGTCAAAAGTTGACCATGAAATTCAGCCGGGGCGATTGACTCTACGAGCATAATCGGCTCGAGAATCATCCAGCTACCCTCGTTCATGGCTAGAAGGACAACAGACAGATCGAAGATGAAAATCACAACCTGATACGTTGTATGTTGGAAGTAAAAGAGACAATACTCCCAATCGATAGGGCCACAGTGGTCGTACACAGACACACTAGATTTATGGCTCCAACCTCCCAAACGAATCAGGCCAATTGGGTAGACATAGGTAGGATATATCGGTGGCTGAGGAGGGTATATCACTAATGTACCGAAAAGCCCAAGCAAATGGCCGAAAAATTTAAACTCCGAGACCAATTATCATGGTGGTTCTGTTCAAACAGCACCTCATAGTTTGGAATAGGTAATGTACCCAGAACAAATAGTATTGCTGCCTAGCCTAGGAAGACCACTCTGTTGAATTTCAGGCATTCGAATTTAGACACATGTTACCCCGAGACGGCTCAGTGGTTAGAGTGCGAATTTACTGACCGGAAGATCCGTGGTTCCAGCCCGACTTCTGCCTCTCGATTTCCCTTGTCTAGGCTTGAGTAACCTGGCAGTAGCCCAGTCCTCGTGCTTTTTTTCGGGTTGCATAGAAGCTAGGCACCGAAAGGACGTTACAGCTGAACGACTTTCTTTATTTGCCTTAAACCGCAATTTTCCACGTGACTTATTTTGAAAAGATTATCTTTAGTATCAAGAGGGTATGAATAGCCAATTAGCGCCATCTCATTCATTCACCAGGGAGCTGCATTCGACAAGAATTGTCACTGTTCCGATGTAATAAAAAAAGGTTAATATTCACGATTGTTAGAATCGATCGTTGCGGCTATACTTTGATGTGAGGACTGGAACCCGATTAATGATCGTAAAGGATGTAATGTGACAGCTGTCGTCACAACCGTGAATTTGTCTCACTACAGCTACACCACCAGCGTTTGCTACATCGATGCACACAATACGCACTATCATCACTTTTCAGCGTAAAACAAACCTTAAGGATGACGTTTCAGTACGTGAGTACATCACGAAATACACTTGTTTGCACACCAATGTGGTCTTCACGGGAAACTCAACTGAATTCCAGCTGAGATGGACCAAGTGGTTGGAGCACGAATTTACTGACCGGGAGGTCCGTGGTTCCAACCCGGCCTCTGCCTCTCGACTTCCCCTGTCTAGGCTTGGGCTAACTGGCAGTATCCCAGCCCTCGTGCCTCCTTCGTGTGGCATGGCAGCTAGGCACTGAAAGGGTGCTACAGCTGAATGGTTATTTACACGATTAAGCCGAGTCTTCCAGGAAAGCCAAATTAGTATGCATTTCGCGAATTTCGCCTCAAATAGAACATGCGGTTGACGGAAATTCGGAGGCTGCATCTAGCTGGTGAGCCACAAGAAAGGCAAAACAGGTCGTGAGCTGTCGAAGAGCTTCCAATAACCCTGTGAGTATATTTTGTAATGTACTACTCACAATGTTGCTGAAAACTCCTCGACAGCAACCTTAGGAGTAGTGCATTACAAAATATATATGTATCGCGATATCCCGAGTATCGTAGCGACTGAAACATGAGGCGGCCTGGTGCAGCACATTCAGTTGCCTGAAAACATCAAAAACAAAGAAATTCAGCAGGGTTCCAGGTGAGTCTCTCGAAACAACCAAATTAGTTTGCAAATGAGTGTATATTCGCTAATTTCGTGCAATTTGGTTTCAAGTAGAACATAAGGTTGACGGCAACCCGGGGACTGCGCCTACCTGATGAGCCCCAAGAAGGGCGAAACTGGTCGTGGGCTGTCGATGGATTTTAAGCAACCTTATGAGTAGTACATTGCAAAGATATACATGTATCGCGATATTTCAAATATCGTAGCGACTGAAACATGAGGCGGCCTGGTGGAGCACATTCAGTTGCCTAAGAACATCAAAAACAAAGAGATTCATCTGGGTTCCAGGTGAGTCTCTCGAAAAACCAAATGAGTGTATATTCGTTAACTCTGAGTAGTTTCATTTATGAAAATACAAGTATATCCATTCATGGTGCTCAACAAACAAAGCTACATTTGACGGTTTGACTGATCTGCACGGCCTACTACGATAAATTGCGGGGATCTTGGAGAAAAGTCGTACTGTTCGCTGCTGAAGGAGTTTGATCGACGCATTGTTTCTCCCGGGCCACTAACATTTCTGCGTTTGTGACAGTGGTATTGCTGCCTTCCTTTGATGAATGATGACTTAGAATAGGTCAGCCCTAAAACCCGGACACCGATCGCCCAACGGTTGACAGTAACCACCGGCGCATTATCCAGCAATGTAGGTGAATTTGAACATACAAAGAAACTTGGAAGCGGGAAAACCACAGAATCCACAGAAACCACAGAATGTCCTTCTGTTATTATGAAAAGTGGGGCAAGATGGCCCGAGTGGTCAGAGCGCGAATTTACTGACCGGAAGGTCTGTGGTTCGAACCCAACCTCTGCCTCTCGAGTTCCCCTGTCTAGGATTGGGCAACTTGGCAGTATCCTAGCCCTCGTGCAACCTCCGGGTGGCAAGGCAGTTAGGCACCGGAAGGGTGCTACAGCTGAACGATTTTATTACGAAAAGTGGTGCACATTAGTAACTCATTTCACTTGCTTATGGACTTAGTTTTCATTGAACTTAGCCGCGTTACAAACTCATAGAACATGTGAGATGACAATTCGGAGTCTAGTGCGAATTCGCTTGAAATTGGTCATGTGTTGCGTAGTGACTGAACGTCACAAGCTGCAAGTGACAGGAGAAAATAGGGAGAAGCACGTGGGTTTAAGGATATTATGCGTACCACACTCGGATCCTAGGCACATTTAACTGCCGTTTACGAGTACCAGTGCTGGTTTCAATGCAATGGATATTATACCGGGTTACGTTGTCTGAAGGGGCGAAAGTATCCCCGGAACACGAGAACCAGTGAAAGCTTCCATCCGTGACTAAAGTGAATGAACGATCTTCAACCATTAGCTCAACCAGGACGAAGGAGGCCATGCGCAATGTACTTGACGACATCACCATAACAGTTGTATGAAACGCACCCGGTGGAATGGGATCGAACTGCTATCAAAAATTGTAGTATCAGTCAGGACTATGCTCAAAATCGAGAATTACCGTACGACTTTTTCATTTTTTGGTTGGGATCATTAAAGGAGGGGAAAGCGTTCAGTTGTAGCACTCTTTCTGTGCCTAGCTGTCATGCTACCCGAAGGAAGCACGAGGGCTGGGATAATGCCAGGTTGCCCAAGCCTAGACAGGGGAAGTCGAGAGGCAAAGGTCGGGTTCGAACTACGGACCTTCCGGTAAGTAAATCCGCGCTCCAACCAGTTGCGCCATCATTAGCAGTCTGTGTCTCATAAATCTGTATAAAGATTCGAACCCATAGCCTCCCTGTTAACGGTTGTCAGTCGCTGGTCAGCAGTGTGACCATAATTTACAAGTACGCTGATGGTCCGTGCGGTCTGCGCAGAAAAGCCAGAATTCAAAGGCGACAAGACGCTAGCAATACTCATTCTAAAGAACAAAACATGTGGTGGGTGTAACAAGTGGTTACAACGTAGCATTCCCAACCAATTTGTGGTCGGTTGCTAACAAGCTCGGTGGCATGGGGCCTACTAGGCGGATATATGCAAGCCGACTTCCCGCGAGGATCGACACCTGGACTCATCTGGTTGAAGAACGGATACCATATGGGAAGAAAGGCTTTTCGGACTACCCTAGGGGATTGCCTATCTTCGGGGGATTTCAAATTCAGCCGCGGATATTGGAGAACACCGTCTTTTCGGAAGAACTGCTGTAGTAAGGATTGGTCGACAAAACCGAGAGCTGTCCAAAACAAAGGACCCTTGTCGGGGTACACTACTAAGTAATGCCCGTCGCCACCATTTGGGGACAATGTTGAGCAGCCAAAAGATCGCCACAAATATAGGATGACAGAGAATGAAACCTCATAGAAAGATATAAAGCAGAGCTCAGGCACAGAATAGACAAGGAACGGAGTTGACCACGAGGCCCTCTTGCTATCGTACCATACGAAAGGAGAGCGACAGGGCTCCTAACATACCTTGCTTCATAGCTCCCTCAGCGGCTTGCTGGAAAGCCCAGTCACTACTGTCCACACAGTGATTATCTCCATCTTGCAAGCGGAATCGCACACCAGCGATACGCTGACCAGCCAAGTAGCCCTCGGCACACGAATTTCGGAATCCGACCTCAACTGCCGGCACGTACTGTTTCGGAACATGGGTTCCGACTGTTTCGTCGGAAAAGATCAGTTGAGTGTTTGAGTTCGGTGGCAGTGGCTCCAGAACACCAATCACCCGACCGTACTGACCAGCTCCGCCAGACTGCTTTTTATGCAAATAATCAAATCTAGGTGGACGAGAAAAAAGAACACTTGCACTTTTAAACTATGTCTTGATCAGCACTTTTATTTGGTGGTTCTGCGAACGACTAGCTGAATAAACAGGCGACTTGGCGGTCGACTAGTCTGGGTAAAAGGTACGAGCACAACTGTCACCTGACACACAATCCTCAATCGTGGATGGAGGCCATCTGCAGTGGAAAGATCGAATGCTACAAGTACAGATCGTAAGAAATGGGGGAGGGGCTCGTTTATGAGTACAGCAGGCAGGATAGATGAATCGGTCTGAACTGTCAGGTCAACGAGTGACAGCGTGAGCCTGGGAGGCCCAAGAGCAATCTCAGGGTTAGTGAATCAAATGAGCTCAAGAAGACCCACTTGATAAGGCGCTAGCTTGCTGACCAGAAAGTCCGTGGTTCGAACCCAATCTCTGAGTCTCGCACTATATAGCCTGGGAGGCCCAAGAGCAATCTCAGGGTTAGTGAATCAAATGAGCTCAAGAAGACCCACTTGATAAGGCGCTAGCTTGCTGACCAGAAAGTCCGTGGTTCGAACCCAATCTCTGAGTCTCGAATGTCACTATATAGGCTCGGGGAACTTGGCAGTATCTCAGTTCTCATGGTTCATTCTGGTGGCATGCCAGCTAGGTACCGAAAACGAACGATTTATTTCTACCTTTGTAGTGAGTCAAGTGATGGAACCGGTAGCACTCATTGTGACTGCAGTAAGATTGTGCTGGTCAACCTGGTGACGGAACACCAGCAGTTGAAGTGGCTCCAGGCGACTTACTTCAAGAGCCTGAAGATGGGGGAAGTTTGCGCCCAAGACAATAGTTGAGACGACTTTCCATTACCAAGTCAAATTAATCTATGCCTGACCATTGTGTATCGTGTGGATTCAGCCTGGATCGGGCGGGATGGCTCAGCGGTTAGAGCGCGAATTCACTGACCGTGGTTCGAACCCGACCTCACTCTCTCTCTCGACTTCCCCTGTCTAGGCTGGGAAACCTGTCCCAGCCATCGTTTTTTTTCTGGTGGCATGGCAGTTAGGCATCGAAAGAGTACAGAGCTGAACGAGTTTTCTTGCTAGCAATGAAGATCATCCTTCTAGGCGGATACTATTTAAAGAACGAATTGGTTGGAACAACCTGGGTTTGCAGGACACCTACCTTGATAAGTTGAACTCTCAATGTGTTAAACCTGTGACGGTGTGGACTAAGACAAATCAAACAAAGACGCTATTTAAGTAAGTGACAGAGCAGGATATCAGTCTGCCCGAAGTAGGCGCCACTATCTTCAATTGTTCGGTCGTTCCCATTTCGACTTGCAACTGGCACACCTCAACTTCCTAGTGTACAAAGCCCATGATGCTTGCAGGAGTGACAATCATTAAACGCAATTATATTGAAAAGGCCACGTAGTGACTGACCCTGCCTAGTGATTTGACTCATGAGATGCGCCGGTTAAACCGAATGAACTTAATGGAATAGTACACAGCCTCAGTGATGCCCAACTTGTTCGTAATCCCTAAGCTTTGAGGACTATACGTCACCGTGCTCCAGGTTCAACTCAAACCTCTGAAATCCTGACAATGATGTTTGGAAAACAATGCCACGGAAAGCTCGTTTATTCAAAACGGAATGGACGGGAATGTAGATACTAACGCAGAGGGTGGTAGTTTTGGCAACCCTGTCGGAAATTGTGTACCATTAATATAAAGGAGAGATCGTTCAACTGCAGCACCCTTTTGGTGCTACCTGCCATTGCCACCCAAAGGAAGCACGAGGGCTGGGATACTGCCAGATTGCCCAAGCCTAGACAGGGGAAGTAGAGAGGCAGAGGTTGGGCTCGAACCACGGACGTTCCGGTCGGTAAATTCGCGCTCTAACCAGTTGGGCTATCCCGTCCAAAGGAGGGATGCACCCATTCCATTCTGACGCAATGTCGTCTCAATAAATTTAGCAAGAATGTGCGTTACGTTCAGTGGACAACAATGGGCTTCTAAACGAAATACCATGACCAGTTGAGTTTATAGGATGTCATTCAAGCACACAGATGCGATGCACCTTCCATCAGGACCCCTCCTTGGTAGGCTTGGATGTAGACTAGGTGTATGCGTGGTCATCCGCTTGGTCAGCAAGGACCATGTGTATAAATCACACATTCCACTGAACTGTGAAATGTGGAAAGATTCCAGCCTATATGGTGCACGAGGGTAAAAAGGCTGCGTCTGTCGCCGGGAAATTCTGTTTCCTATCGTTAGCTCAGTGGTTAAGGCAGGAAATTACAGACAGAGAGTTCGTGGATCGAACCAGACCTCTCTCTCTCGACTTTTCCAGTCTAAGCATGGGCAACCTGGCAGCATCTCAGCTCTCGCGCTTCCTTAGGGTGGCATGGCAGCTGTGCACCGAATGGGTTTTATGGCTAGACGCGATCATTCTATTTATTCCCACCATCAGCAGCGAAATGGTGGCTGAATTTCTCTTGAGTAACCCAAGTAGGCAGGAACGAGCCGAATTTCAACTAGTCCATTTTGGCGTCTTATTACCCCGAAGCTTTGTATGTTCCATTAGCTTTCCACCACTGTTTGAGGTTTGTGTAGTCCGGTAGAACCTGGAATTGTATAGCATTTCAATCTAAAGTCACTGTAACAAATTAACTTTAGAACAGACCGAAAACGTGGCTATCAACCAATGGCCTTCGTTCAAATGATCGGTCGTTTCTAACCACGTTTCATTGACGGACAACGTGAGCATAGATAGGACTCACTGGAACGGTTCTGTCAGTGTCTCCCTAAATGCGACACGCGGTTTTCCCAGAACGCAAGGTGCATTATATTCACGAGCCAGCCGTTGCGCATAGATCTCCAAGTGCAGCTCGCCCATCCCGGATACAATGGACTGACCACTTTCAGGGTCTTGGGACAGGCGGAAGGTGGGGTCCTCGCGCGTGAAACGACCCATGCCTTTGCTGAAAGACTCCGCGTTGGACTTGTCAACCGGCGTGATGGACATTGAAACAACCGGTTCGGGGATAAACATTGATTCCTGAGATGCGGTACGGTAGAACAAGAGAAATCAAAGAGGATCAGCGTGAAGTAAAAACGAAAACCAGGCTGAGAAAGGTCAAGGAGGAAGCCTAATTAAGTTTCACTGGCCTCATGGGCATAAACAGGAGCTCTGTTCGAACTTCCATGACGATCTGAGGAACTGCCAAATAATAGTTTGGCACGCTAAAGCTGACATTCAGGAAATATTACAGTCGCTAAACAAGTACAGTATCAAGACAACCAGAAGTGAGAGGCAGACACACTTAACCGGAGTCATATCACCATGAGGATCGTAAACGGTACTAAATAGGGTGAACCAATCAATTTATTTTGACGAAGTAGGTAGGAAATTTTGCGGGCAGACTGAAAGACAACAGAATCGGGAGAACCAAGCAACACTTGATTCGCATCTGACATAACTGGGTGGCAAAAACTGTTCTGGATGTGAACATGACGAAAGAGAATATTCAAATTTAGAGGTCACCGAACAAGTGAATCATCTGAACCAGTCCTAAAGGCAATTCCTCTACAGGAAGATCACAACCAATTACTATTTGATGTGTCGTTCCACAAGCGAGTGGTCGGTACCCTGTGTATTTGCGAAAAAGAGAACTTAATGTGTGTCTAACGGTCCTCGATGAGTCTGGCACGAAGATGTAGGCATGATGCAGGCTTAGGAAAAATAAGAACGAAGGGGGTGCATAGGGTGTTTTTGTCAGTGAGTGGCTTCAGAAAGGCCAAAATTTGTGGGAATCTCGAAGGCGCTATTTACAAACCATACTTCAAGCATACAAATACCGACCGGAAGAGTTTGTTGATTGCCACCAGCAAATATCAAATACTTCAGAGCAGTAAACGGATAAATCTCAGCGCAGACAGCGTTGGCATCTGTTGACCACTAGTGCCATTAACTCACATTTAACATCCTTCCATCACGTGGCCTGGTGTTGACCGGTTCCTTGCGTGACCACATCTCGAGAACAAGGTCCGTACGGCTTATGGGAAGCTTCCATTTGGGACCGGGTTGCTCACACTTTGTAGATAGTGATGTGGATCTGTCGTGACACTACATTAAACAATTTCTAAGTGGTCCAAAAGACGAAGTCAGAAAATACATCCACCGAAGTGAACCTACCATAACTAGTGGTTTCGGAGCCTTTACATCCATTAGGGTATCACCGGAAGCGCAGTCGACGCCAAACAGAGAAGCAATATCTCCTGCATAAATGGTTTCCAGTTCTTCGAATTCCGTTACATTGAGACGACCCAGGCGTGGGCAGCGAATGCGACGTCCAGTACGGGTGTTGACGATCACCTGGCCACGATGGAGACAGCCTTGATAGACACGTACATACGTGAGTTGGCCAAACTTGCTTGCCTATCATAAAAGGTAGAGAAGGCACCAACCAAAATATAGACGCCAAAGAGAATATACTCAACCAGCTACTACGATGTGGTAGCGCGCAAAATTCCAGAGGAGCATAATTACGGTCCAAGTTGCACGTTAAAGGTCGTTCAGACCATTCAGCATTGACTTGACTCTCCGGGGGGGTACGAATTTGTCTACTCGGTTCCGCGTACTGCTGAGCAAAGTATCACTGCTGGATAGTACCATGATGCATATAACGCGATAGTGTGCAATTGTTGCTGCCACCCAACGCGCCGAACGGAGAATAAGAAGGGACATTTCAATAATAAAGAATCTGATGAATCGCTGATTTCGTCTACAAAGGATGGCCCATTTGTCAGTCTTAATCTCAAAGAAACTGATAAAAAAGATAATCGTTCAGCTGTGACACCCTTTTCGGTGCCTAGCTGCCATGCAACCGAAACTGACAGGCCTGAAACCAATCGAATGAGGCAAATTATTCAGAACCACGTTAAAAGTACGGCAGTGATTCATCAGGTTCTCAAGCGAAACGACCCGAACATACCATTCAAAACTTGGTCGACGAGTGTTAATATTATATCATATACTATAATTATATTATATTATATTATATTATTGGGTGCAAATATTGGCGCAACTGTGCGTTGCATAGCTTAAACCAACATCATCAGTTATCGGTATTCCCTTGTGAAATACGGGACAGTGAGTAGGCGGGAATTCAGTAGCTACAGGAACCCGAAGTTGTCGTAGCAACAAAACACGTTGAAAGTTGCTCACACTGTGCTAGTCAATGACGGGAAAGAAACGCTACTATATGCACTTGTTGACTCTGACGCAGCAGACGGACTGGAACATAATAGTCTGTAGAAAAACATCATCACCGGAAGGAAAACTAGAGACCATTGGGTCCATCAGAAAAAAAAA